AAAAATACTCACTCCTCCTTTCTCCAGTGTTTTCCTACAGTATCTAGCACCTAAATTATAATTTTCTAAGTGAAGATGTTCTAATTCCAGCTGTTTCATGTGATGTTCAGTAAGGCACAGTATGTGTGGAAGATTTGAATTCATGGAGCTTATTAGTTCATTTGTTTTGTTTCTCAATCCTCTTATATTCTGATGGAATATTCTTAGTACTTTATTATTCATTGAATTTAGTAGACTGCAATTACCTTTTCCAATTTCTATTGGTTCGCTTACATTATTGTCTGAAACATTAGTTTCTTTTGCAATTTCTTTTACTTGATAAACTTTACTTGCACTCTTTATCCTAAAAAATGATTCTGAACACCCATGACAACTGGAATGTGTCTGCCTTTAATGCTTCTGCAATGAGTCGCGTCAGCTTGTCCTTGCCTCGAGGATTAAGATGCAAACCATGGACAGTATGTTCGCTCCTCAATATTGAAGAGACATCAATCGCATCAATGTGGGCCGCTCCGACCTCCACAAGCGAACGCTTAAGCCGAAGATTAATCTCACTTACACACCTGTTAATCCATGGCTTGTCATGTCGCAAGAGAAGACCAACAAACCTCACATTGGTGTGACTAGTTTTCTGGGCAATGTCACTTAAATCTTTCTCAATTTGATAATTGAGGTTTCTCTCCAAACTGTTACCTGTACCTTATATTTATCAAGTATAACCTCACTGTCACCACGTTTGAAGTTTTAACATATAATAAAATGTCTCAAGCAGAATTTGTATGTAAGTTTATGATCTACTGCCATACAAAGGTTCACATGCCCAAATTCCATGTTTCATGGTCTTCAGCAGATAGATGCAAAGTACTGATTTTGCAAAGTTGCCAACTTATTGGTTTACTTTCTACAAAAAGAAATAATGTAAAAAAATTGGCATATTTTTTGAGGGCCTATTATAATATAATATTTCATGACTCTGCATTTGCTGCCATTAGTGAAGTTACTCCCACCTTAAAAGTTTACAGTACCATCATGTTGATATTAGTGATGACAGGAAATTAAAGAACAAGTATGGAGTGGCCTCAATATCATCATGTTCATACCAAGTTTCATGATGAATTGTAAAGTGATTCCAGAGTCATAAGGGAATATAAAAGACATGATAATACCATAAGAATATCATTTCCTAAGAGATGAAATTTCAATTTGGGAAGTGTTTCCTTTTTGTAAATAAATTCCTGCCTTTCTTTTTTCCCCACATTCCAGCAAGATAAAATGCCTTCTTTTTATCTGACAGATGGAACCCACCACCGTAATGCGTTACTTGCTACAAATAGTACTGAAGTTGAAATCTCACCAGGAGAAAACATGCCAAGAAAGACAATGCAGAAGATGCAGCTCAAGCGAGAGCTGGGCCTGTTCAGTGCTGTCAATCTTATTGTTGGTGTTATGATAGGTACAGTGTATTCAGGATTATATTTATTGTACATAATCACACCATTTGGCTGATGTCTAATCTAATTATATTTCCTGAATATGGTGACCAAGTGTAACCTTACAGTCTATACATGAAAAGCAATGCTTCATGGGTTTAAAACTGTATATTACTTAAATATAATTTATACCTCTAATTAAGAATGTGTGCTATAATTATGTAAAGAAGGATAAGATGAATGGGACATGTAGCTTGTATCATAGATAAGAAATGCACATAACATTTTAGGTGACAAAATTTGAAAGGAAAAGGCCACTTTAAAGACTTGGGCATATACTATAACAGATGTTCAAATGAATTTCACAGAAATAGACTGTGATGGTGTGGAGAGGATTCAACTGGTACCCAGCAAAGTCCAGTGGCAAGCTCTTATAAATACAGAAATGAACCTTAGGGTTCCATAAGAGTTGGAGATTTCCTTAAGGAGCTGAGGAACATAAAGCTTCTCAAGAATTACTATGCTTCATGAATTCTTTTATTTAGTTGCTTGAGTAGTTAACAGAGTCATGATATTATTTTGTATAATAAATCATCTGAAATTGTTACAACAGAGCAACAAATGTGGTTCACAACAAAGTTACAGAAGGAATAACTTCTCTAAATACATATTAATATCCAGTTCAGAAACTGTTATCATATACTCGTATCTACATTCCAAAACATTAAAGATCAGAATATATATCTCCGCGTATGTTTGCACACATAGACACACACACACACACATATATATATAAAATATTAATTTTGCCAATTGTTTTATATAGGTGTGAAACACTTTTCCTTATGTTGATGGAAGACTAAATTATAAGTTTCTTAAAATAAGTGCAAGCATGTTGACCTAAACAGGAATTATGATAACAAAGAGAAAATATCCATATACCTGGAGAGAATCAAAACCTGGCCACCCAGCCTGTAGCCAGTCATTTTACTGAATGAACTATCCTGGCCTATCTAACAGAACCCACAAATGGATGTTGATGAATTGGGCACCATGTGAAACACATTCTCACTTTAACATATCTGTGGCTTGTAAACACTAATGATCCTGGCTGCAGCAGTATTGTAACTACTGAGACATCAGGTTGAAAGATATGTGTCAGATGAATACACAGAGGAGTTCTAGGGATGACAATAACTTCACTAAATAATTAGATGTAAACATCAGAAGCTTTCTCATATTATAAGAATTAATATCTATTGTTTGTGTTCTGCAGGATCTGGAATCTTTGTGTCTCCTGCAAGTGCCCTCGAGAGATCTGGGTCAGTGGGTCTGTGTCTCATCATATGGGCTGTATGTGGCAGTATCTCCTTATTGGGTATAACTTTATCTATATCTTTACCTATTTCTGCAACTGAAAATTTGATTAAATATTCTAATATTTAACAAAGTTAAAAGATGCATTGGATATCAATTCTCAGGTTCCACCACTCAAAACAATGCTCCTCATTCAAAGATCTGGGGAGGAAAAAAAAAGAGAGAGAATGAGCAATTTGGCTTATTCATTAACACTTCTGAATTTTATTCATGAAATTCCCAATTCAAATTTGGTTTGGAGGTTTTGTGGCTTTTCTCAGTTCCTCCAGGTGAACAACAGGACAGTACCCTGAAACAGATGATGCCAACTTCCTTCCTGATCCTTTCCCATTTCACTGAATGTGATTTTCCTCTCTCATCACTAGATGATGAATAACTTCTGATGTAGATATAGAAATGTTATATAACCTACAATGCATTAAACTGTCAAAAATTGTGCTCATCTACTCAGCAGAACTCATCCATGATGAATTGAAAATCATTGCTGATGACTGCAGAATAATCTCATAACTTGTATGTATGTTACAAATGTACAAGAACATGACAAGAAATAACTGGCATTACCTGTAGGACGACATACTGACTTCTGCATAGTAAACATATTTTCCTTGCAATTTTTTTTCTTCAAATGACAGTGAAATAAAATAAGATTATAATTTAATATATTTTTTCCTTCCATAGGAGCATTAGCATTTGCAGAACTTGGAACAGTTGTTCCACGGTCTGGAGCAGAGTATGCATATTTCCAGGAGGCTTATGGAGGGCTGCACAGATTCTGGGGTCCATTGCCAAGTTTCATATGCTGCTGGGTGTATGTTATTATACTGAGGCCAGCTGAAGTGGCTGTTATAATACTGACATTCTCAGAGTATATCTGCCAACCATTTGCTTACCATATAAATTACATGCCTGCAGAGTCTCAAGAAATACTTAAGAAGATCATTGCACTTCTTGGCTTAGGTCAGTAACCATTTTTGTGGTACAGAGTCCTCATACCATTATTTGAGTAATACTCTTTTGTTAATATATATCAGCACAGCGTTTTTACTTTCTCACATATGTGGTATACATCAGAAAGTATTGTGATGGTGAAAAGAAATGATCTTGAGACTTTGATGAATCAACAAGTTTCCAGTGCCCTTGGATATGAGCATGTACTATATATGATAAAGTACTGTAACAGTAAACAAAAGTGATCTCAAGATCTTTGTGCATATATACATCTTCAGGTTTCATGAAAAAACAACAAAAAAAAAAAAACAAAGGCTCTTTGTATTTGCGTGTGTGCATGTGTGCACATGTGTGAAAGAGAGAGAGAGAAAGTCTGAACAGTTTGACAGATTTAATAACTATTTAGCAGCTTATCCATCCTAGGTCACTGCCCAGTTAATATGAACATTCTAGCTCGATAAATACAGACCCTCAAGATGGGTTCCAAAAATTAAAATGAAGATTTTCTCAGAAATGGCTCCAAAGATTCTGATTCACAGAGACCATCGACATGAATAAGACTCTGCAGATGGCATTTTCAGGAAAATAATGATACGTGCATTAGGTGCCAAAGTGGTTACATAATACATCTATTTCACAGCTTGCATAATCAGTGACAAATAATGATCTGTGAAAGAGCAATTGGTTTCTATTTCCACAGTAACATAGCCAAAGCCAATAATATACGAGAAAGTGTATACAGAACTATAAGGTTTATTTATGCAATATCTTTGAACCACTTTGTTTCTAAACATATTTCTGAGTTCTCCAATGCTTGGTTTTCACGTCAGGGTTGAAATACTTGTACACAAAGCACTATCAGATGTGTGGCTTTTAGCTACTGACAGGTTGGTTGGTATACAGTAGATTTTGCCAACATGTGTGTTGCCTGAAAAAGAAACCCTGGACATCAGTATTGTGCTTGAATTTCTGTAAGTCCCAGATATGAAATTCATCCCATAGAAGGCTATTGGGGTGTTTAATGATTTTTCTCATTTCCCCCAGACCACAACCATAGCCACTTCACATCCTTCCAAACTTACTGTTAATAATCATGTTACATGATGCTATATAACCTGTGCAGATGAGTAAGTTTCATGGTAGAATGATCCTTTTCCTTTATAAATGCATCTAATGACCACATCAGCACTGACTCTATGAGTGAAAGTGCCAGAATTGAGCCTAAGCCCTGCTAAATAAAGAGCATGAATACTAACAATTCCTCGACCATAATGGGCATTTTCAGTATTTCATATTATTGGCCAACAGGCATAATAAATCAAGTATTTCATTATTTTAGTAGAGTTTGTCTAAAATAAAAATGCAGATAAAGGATGGGCACTTTCATTGGTCTAATGTATAACAAAAATACCATTAAGAAATCATAGAAGCTCTTATTGGCACTAATCAGAAGATTGGTCTAGAAGTAAACACAAAGAAAACTAAGTTTATGTTGACGTCTCATCACAAGACTATGGGGCAAAATCATCACATAAAGACAGCTATTAGATCTTCAAAAATGATGAAAAGTTTATGTATTTGGGCAGGACAGTAACAAATCAAAAGTTGATTCACGAGAAAATTAAGAGCAGATTAAATCTGGCTAATGCTTACTACCATTTAGTTCAGAACCTTTTGCCTACTGTCTAAAAACTTAAAGATTAAAATATACAAAACTGTAAATTTACCTGCAGTTTTATGTGAGTGAGAAACTTGATCTCTGACATTAAAGCAATAGCACACACAGAGGGTGTTTGAGAACAGGGTGCTGAGGAGAATATTTGGACCCAAGATGGATGAAATAACAAGAGGTTGGAAAAAACTGCATAATGAAAAGCGTCATAAATTGTACTCTTCACTAAATGTAATTAGAACGATCAAGTTGAGCAGAATGAGGTAGGAGGGGCATGTAGCATACATAAGAGAGAAGAGGCGGCATGCAAACAGATTTTTGGTTGGAAGGTCAGAAGAAAGTAGACTTCCAGGAAGACCAGATATAGGTGGGGGAAAATTATTAAAATGGATATTACAGAAATAAGATGGGGTAGTGTGGACTGGAGTCATCTGCTCAGGACTGGGGCTAGTGACAGGCTGTAGTGAGCATGGCACTGAACCTTCCATGTTCCATAAAATGCTGGGAATTTCTTGTGGGGATGAGCAACTGCTGGCTTCTCATGAATGACTTGGTTCCATGAAGTTAGTTAGCTAGCCATTTCCTTCTTTAAAATTTTAGCTACTATATACTGTGATACTGATAAGAAATGCAGTCATATCTTGAGCAAAGACCATGCCAATTTCTTGCAATTCACATAATATTATCATGCTAACTACAACCCACATATTAACTTCTTCAGTGCTAAATTCGAGCCTAAACAGTGAGCACCATGATAGAACTTATGCTGTCCTCCATCCATGAAGAGCATGCAAGTGGACAGTAGAATGGGCTGACCTTAAAACATTCTACTGTACATGTAGGGAAATACCAGTGTACCAAGTGCATGTGAAAATCGTGTCATGCTTCCATCTTCCACTGTAGACGTGGGTGTGCAATGGTTAAATGTCTCAAGTTTGACTTGTTGACCCTTTCCAAGAAGTTATACCATTTGACAATTAAACAGGGCTCCAAGACTGCACTTACTGAATAATACTGTATTTATTCTCAGGTCTGTTGACATACATAAATTTCATCAGTGTGAAACTGTATGTCCACGTACAGAATATATTCACATCTTGCAAGTTGTTTGCCTGCCTTGTAGTCATCATTGGAGGTCTTTATGAACTGTGCATTGGTAAGTATATGATTAAAATTACACAGAATTATAGTATACACTAGGGTATTGTATGGTGTGAAGGAAGGAACAGGTTGTGGCCTATTTCAAGGTACTGTCCTGCTGTTTGCATGGAGTGACTGGGGAAGTCAAGAAAAATCTTAATCACAGCAGCCAGTTCCTTGGCTGAGACTCAAACAGCATACCTTCAGATGATAAATTAAAACATCTCATTGAAATCAATGTAACTTATTTTGTTGCTAAAAAATATACCAGAGGTGAACTGGTAACATCTATTATTGTATACAGCATGTAATGAATGAACGTCAATAGCAACAAGAAATCAATAATATATTAGTTACTTCACAAGTTCCCCCCTCCCATTAAATGATCTCCTAGATTGCTTGGCATATGTGTGTTGTTTCAGAAATTCTACGAGGGTCGTACTGAAAGTCATGAGCAACAATTTTTTGTAAAGTAACATGCTTTATTATTGACAAACCAAATACACCACCTCAATCTACAGACCTTTCTTTATTTTTCCACATAATCGCCACTTCTTTGTACACATTTCTCCCAGCGTTCTGGGAGTTTGAAAATTCCCCTTCTGTAAAATTCCGTTCCAGCCATCCGAAGACACTGACGCACTGCTTTCTGAATTGCCTCCCTTGTCTCAAAACGTTGTCCACACAGCTGATCCTTCACAAATCCAAAAAGATGGTAGTCGGAGGGTGCCAGATCAGGGCTATAGGAGGGGTGTGGAAGAACTTCCACCCCATCTTTGCAATTGCTTCAAATGTGAGGTGAGCAGTGTGGGGGTGGGCGTTGTCATGCAGGATGATAATGTTTCGTCCCGGACGTTTATCACGCAATGCACGATGGAGCTTGTGCAGTGTCTGGACATAAGGAGCAGCATTGATGGTTTGCCCAGGTTCCAGGAATTCGGCCAGAATAAACCCCTCTGCATCCCAGAAGACTGTGCCCATCACCTTCAAAGCTGATGGCACTGTCTTTGCCTTCTTTTTTGATGGAGAATGCAAATGGTGCCATTCCATACGCTGCCATTTTATTTCAGGCTCAAAATGGTGAAACCAGCTTTCGTCACCTGTCACAATACAGAGCAAAAAGTCATCGCCTTCTTGTCGATATCTCTGCAGCAGTTTTGAGGTGATGGTTTTTGGCTGACCTTTGTGGTCTTCGGTCAATAACCATGGGACCCAACAAGTACAAACTTTCCTATAGCCCAAGCTTTCAATCATCTTTACTGCACTGTGCCCTATTCCAAGTTTTGGGGCTATTGTGTCCACAGTCACACGTCTGTCATCTTGAATGATCTCATCCACTCTTTCCTTGTTGCATTCAGTTGAGGCTGTTCGAGGACGACCACTCCGAGGCTCATCTTCGATGCTGGTGTTCCCATCTTTAAAATGTTTCATCCATCTTCCAACACTGCTCGCACCCATGCACACACTTCCATAAGCACACTGAAGTGTCTGGTGAATTTCTGCAGTAGGGATTTCCTTTTTTACAAGAAATTCGATGACATATCACTGTTGGCCATTTTGTTAGGAGTGATACTGGTCACGTGATGCACACTATTGATGTCACAAGACACTCAAGGTTAAAACAACAGCTTGTTCCACCTACCACCATACTCTCTTTCATCTGCTGTTCCCAGGTTGTATGCAAAAAAAAGTTGCTCATGACTTTCGGTACGACCTACGTATCATGTGTGACTTCAGCTGTCAGGGCAAGGCCATTGTGAATGCTGAGGATATTCCAACATTTCAGCAAATCCTAGCCTTAAATGTAGAAGTCTCATATTAAGTTTCAGGCATGAGAACCTAAGGACTACAGTCAGAACTGACAGTAGGAATATTAAACCATATGATGCAGTGTGCAGATAATTCCTGGCATTTAAAATATTTCTTCAAGGAAAAAGGAAGAAACTGCACTCACAGTTGAATCATATGACATCTGATATCCCATTATTAATCAGCAAACATGATTGGATCTTTTGAAAGAAAAATATGAAGATATATTAAAATGCGACCTACAGTAATACCAGTGTAATGATTCCTGATTATCTGTAGATCTGAATCAGTTAGAATTACAATTCAGTAAAGACAAAGATTCAATATTAAGAACACTAAAATTACAGATATGGAAATACAGAAGTAATCCACCAGATGCAGACTCCAGTAGCACCAGCATTTAGTTTTCATAAATTTTGCATAGAGATGTTAAATATAAGAAATCAATGTCTCAAATAAAGCTCAAGTTTAATGCGAGAGTGAATTATTACTGTGATTCAGATAATCTGGTGAATACTGGCAGACAGCTGAAAAATTTAAATATATAGTCATGCCAGACTGACATAAAATATTTTATCATCTGTTGCAACTTCTAGCCAGGTCACAACTTTATGTTGCTTATTTTTAAACTAATTATTTCTTACATTCTGAAGATAAAACAAGAAGGAAGTAATTCACTAAAGACTGGTGTATACTTCTGTGACCTGTAACAGATTATGTGATAAACATTGTTTGGATGCATTATAAAATATGATTTGTATGTATGATCTGATTTTTATGTTATAATTCACTTACTCTACTGAAATACTAGTGCTTAAATACATATCTTGATTCTTCTCTTTACACAGGAAACACACAGAATCTCACAAAAGGTTTTGGGGGCTCAACTACTTCTCCCAAAAATTTAGCTCTTGCCTTCTACAGCGGTCTGTGGGCTTTTGATGGTTGGTGGGTACCTAAAAAATTAATATGAAATTTCAGGATAATATTAAAAATGCATCTTCAATGAATACTTTACTTGCTAATTAGGGGTTTATTAACAGCTCCACCTATATAGTATCTAAGGGTGGGATGGGTGAACAGTGAATTGAAAGGGTGTAGAAGTGGCAGTGACCTAATATAGTATACTTTCCCAGCATTTGTTCAGAAGGAATGAGTAAGGTTATGAAAAACCTCAGTCAGGAGAGATCTTTATTAACACAACTTCAGGAAAGGATATGATGTTTTTCACAGCCTTGTAATTCTCTAGACATGTTGCAACATTTAGGATGAAAGAATTGCCTATTTCCATTGTAACTATTTATTTCTTTTTGTAAATAATACTAAATCATGTTCTACATAAACTTTATTTCACCTATCAGATATATATCATGTTCACATGATATTTCATGTTCATGAAACATTATCATGGAAATTTCATATTGACCAATTAGTAACTAAAACGAGTTCAGCTTGTTAAGCTATTAGGACAGGAAAAGGTTTTATGTCACAAGAAACCCTTAAGATGATTTATTTCTCCTATGTGCATTCTATTATGGAATATGGTATAATTTTCTGGGGTAATACATCTAACAGTATCAATGTCTTTAGGATACAAAAGTGGATAATTAGAGTTATTATGAATGCAAAAACTAGAGACTCCAGTATGGATCTATTTAAAAATTAAATATATTGCCAATGTATTCACAATATATATACTTGATAATACTCTTTGTCATAAAAAATAAAGATCTGTACAAATCGAATCATGAGATTCATAGCTTCAGTACTAGACATAGCACAAACTTGCACCTTCCTACATCACGTTTGACAATTTTCCAAAAAGGACCCTACATCTCTGGTATCAGAGCTTATAATCATATTCCACCTCATATAAAAAGTCTGAGTAATGAAATGAAACTATTCAAACCGATGCTAAAAAGGTTTCTTCTTTCCAATTTGTTTCATTCTTTGGATGAATATTTTAACTGTAAAGTAAACTAAACACCTGGATTATACTCCCTACTAAGTAAACTTTTTTATGATACTTATAATAATGGATGTATTTATACTCGTATCTTGTTAATGCGATGGGACTTGTCTGGTTTTGTCTGTGACTAATTCCACATCTACTGGTCATTTTTGTACCACTAAGGATCAATGGAATGCTTAACTAAATTGAATTGAATTGAATTGAATTGAATTGAATTCACCCTTTTGGTGTCAGGCTTAGATTCAAAATAGACAGCTCCCAAACACAAATCAGAAACATTACTTGGTTCCTTTGCATCAATGCACTGTGAAGATTTTAAATGGATCTTGAACATCATAACAAACATAACTACAGAAATTTAAGAGTATATGACTGTCTTACAAATCCAGGTTAATGAGTTTCTTTCTACTTTACAGGTCAACTGTTACATCTGTTACAGAAGAAGTGAAAAGACCAGAAGTGTAAGCGTATGTACATGAAGCCTCTCATATCCAACTGAAGGTTTAAAATTGAGAAGTATGTTATTAAGCTATGTTCAATTTATTTCAGAAATATTCCACGAAGCATCATGATAGGAGTTCCTCTAGTAACTGCTGTGTACTTCATGATGAATGTAGCTTATATGACAGTCCTCACCATTCCAGAAATGATTGCAGCACCTGCAGTGGCTGTGGTAATTACTACAATATATTCTAATTTAATTTCATATACTCAGAAAGCTGTGGTCTCTCCAAAGTTCACAAAAGTCTATATATCCTATGGGGTTTAACTTTCAGTGGCACCACCTGTATGAAGTTAAGATTTCTGTTTCTGTTTTCTTACACTGGCTTGTGATGTAGTCACATTTCTGTAATAATATTGTAGCGAAAGCAATTCACAGTTTATTAATTTGATTATTATCATCACCTTATTTGCCTCTCTCTTTTGCAACAGTTTCTCATGCATTAAGAATATCATTTTTTAGAGTTTTAGTTTTCTGTTTTAAATGTGGAGATATGAACTGTGTTTTGCTATAAAATGGTTAATGCAATTTTCTTTTAAATATTTAAATTAATGAGTGCATAGAACTAAACAAAAGTATTATATTGTGTTTAACTTTATTTAAAGTACAATTTTTGAGAAAAATAAAATTTTGATTACAGGTAAAACTGCTAATCTATAGGAATTTGAAGAGTTCAGTTTGTGTAGGAAGGATTTTTGTACTAAATTTTAATAAATATGTTTTAATTTCTTAATATCAAAGCAAATTTATCACTCCTGGTTGATGATTAACATTGGGCCAACCTGTATCAAACCATTAACTATGTGCTTAACTTGTAGTCTGTAATGTACCTGAGCAGCCTACATCATTACATTAAATGGCAGAACACTGTCACCATAAAAGAAAGTCTTTCCTAAACATGGCAGGACATAACTAAATTCATTGAGCAGGCAGTGAGTTTGTGTATGTACACATTTGCATGGGTATGTTTTATTTCTGTTACTGCTATTTCTTTCCAGTTTTGCTTTAGAGTATGCTAATAGGAAAGTCCTACAAATGAGGACAAATTGGAACGTAACAGGACACTTCAGCTAGTATTCTGTGCTGATTGTAATTTATTAGAAGAACACAAAGATACTTCAGAAAGTCTGGTAGATGCTAAGTAAGGAATTTGGGACAGAAGTAACCACAAAGTAAATGAAACATTCATGTCTTGACACCAGAAAGCAGGACAAAATCATAATATAGAGATAGCTAACAAATGCTTCATGAATAAGGCATAATTAAACAATTTAGGAATGGTTGAAATAGATCGATATTATATCCACAGTAGTTAAGAGTAGATTAAATTCATGGAAAGCTTGCTACTGTTCATTGCAGAATCTTCATCTTCCCATTCCCTACATAAAAATCTAAGGATTAAAATACTGTAATTTGACTGATACAGAGTCCAGGCAGGTTCCGCACATTCTCTTCTTCAGCAGTAGGAGAGGATGGTCACTGGCTTAGTTCTCCATTCATTTAAACCCCAGGAAATATCCTCCAGACCTCATTGTAAAGGATGTTGGGTGTGCACCAGAACTGGTCTTGTTGTGGTGAAAATGAGAAAATCTCATCCCATTCCACAAATCAAATCTCAGTCATCCAGCTCATAGCCATTCACTTTAACCTTTAACGTCCAAAGGGCCCCCTTCGGGCCAGTGATGAGTAAGGTCGTCGTGGCCAAAGTAGCCCCTTTTGGCCAGTCGGGTATTTAAACTCTGCTAGTGGAAGCACGTGCACACGCCACTAGTAGAAGCTCATGCACAGTCCTAAATATTTATTTTTAAACGTAGTAATTACAAGACTGACTTGAGTGAAACCCTAACAGAGGAATTAAAATGATACCTAAGTGAACAACAACAAAAAGCGTATACGTATGAGTTATGCCAAACGTGTACTTTAAGTAGATGCCATAATTCTATTCCAGATTTTTGGTGATAGAATACTTGGAGTAATGAACTTTATCATTCCTCTTGGTGTAGCACTGTCTACATTTGGATGCGCTTTAAGCATCCAGTTCAGTGTCACAAGGTTGTGTTATGTGGCTGGGAGAGAGGGCCACATGGTAGAAGTGTTCTCCTACATCCACATGAGACGTCTAACTCCTGCTCCTGCAGTAGTTTCACAGGTCAGTGACATATGTATTTCAGCCTACAACATGTAGTGTCCAACAGCAGAACCTGTAGACTCAACAGTGCCACTGGACTAGACCCTGAGTCAATTTCATGCACACTCCATCCTCACAACCTATTTCAATATGATCCATTTTAATGTTATACTACTATCTCATGCTCAAGAAATTCCCAGCTTTGTACAGAAACCAAAGCTTCATTACCAAGAAAGATAGCAATATTCACACTCCCAACATGTGATCCTCAAAACTCACGTAGATTACTGTGCACACAAGAGGACTGTCATTGAATTTTGAACTAGTTGTATTCATTCCACGCTCTCACAACTTACTTCCTCTTCCCATCGACATCTAGGTTTTCCAAGTGGTCTCAGCCCTGAAGTTCTTCTGATGAAAATTCTGTACAAATCTATTTACTCTTCCAAGCATGCCACATATCCATCCTATATCACTTGCTTTGACTTTATCATTCTAATGATGCTCTGTTTTATAGTGATATAAAAACTGTTTCATTAGTGGCAAATTTTAGTTACTGAAATGTCCTTATAGTTTCAAGTACTGTTAAATTTAAACATAAATATCAGATATTCCTTGTGAGTTGAAATATAATAATAAGGTCTAAAAGTTTGTGACGATGGTATATTGCCACAAGTATTATGTTTTTGGACATTATCCATCGTCTTGTCTATTTTTTAAAAAACCCGTCCTGTTTCTTTTTCAAAACACAACGTTTCAGAGACTGGATTCTGTCCCCATCCTCAGGTAAAACCTACTTAGTTGGGTCCAATAGATAGAGCTAGCTCCTATCCGGAGATAGGGGGACAAAATACAGTCTCTGAAACGTTTGTTTTGAAAAAGACACAGGACAGGTTTTTTTTTTTTTAAAATAGACAAGATGATGGATAATGTCCAAAAACATAATACTTGAAATATAATAATTATCCATTTGACTCTATGAATAATATTTGCATTCCTGATGGTTGAAACAAATTTTGCAATGCAACAACAGAAATTCTTCCTAAAAGAAATTTTGATTTCAGGGTCTGTTGTCATTCATCTTCATCATTATTGGTGATATTACTTCACTCATTGACTTTGCCAGCTTCCTCATTTGGATTTTCTATGGGGCAGCTATGGTAGCACTCATGCTTATGAGGAGAACAAAGAAAGACGTCAAACGACCTTACAAGGTATTTTATCTAATAAAAGGTAATCACTTGATCAAAATCTGGAAACAGGACTAGCTGGCATGAGGAGTCAAATTCCATTCACGTGACAGTCGGAGAGTATCCAGAAAAGTAAGCTGAAACTAAAGCAACTAGCCCCTTGAAGCCCAATGCTGGGTACAGTTCAATAAGTAGTAAAATTCCACAGTAAACAACAATGAGGTAGACTTATCTACAAATTCACACTGAATCCGACAGTACAGTTAAGAATATCTTGCATGGGTAACAGAGCTAATCAAAGCCTGGATGCTTTCAGAAACTCTGAACCAAATGTACCTTTGGTTTAAGGTTCTCATGGTGGTGACTGTGAAAGGTAGTCTTCTGTGTTGTAAAGACATGTAGTCTGAAGTACATGGTGTTACAATCCAGAGGACCAGGACCACGCTCTTCAAAACACATGTTCACTATAATACAATGAGAATTCCAACAGCCTTGCAATAGCTGTTTACAAGACCTGAGAATCATGAGAACTCTTTTAAAAGTAGCACTCTGGCCAGTCCTGTGTTAAAAAATGGCTTCGAGGGGTTAATATTATGCGATTACTTAGGTGTGGGGCAAGATACCTGAGAGTCTTGCTAATTTATTAAGCATAGCCCATGATATAATTACAGCGTAATTTGGATTTTCGTTATAACTGTACCTATGTGCGAACAAAATTATCCATATCACAGTAGTAGCTTGTTATTTAATTTCAGGTTCCATTATGGATTCCATTATTCATTATCTTCATAGCACTCTTCTTGTGCCTGGTGCCAATCATCACAGACCCATCTCCGAGATACTTCATTGCTTTACTCTTCATTGGAATTGGAATTGCAGTTTATGTTCCTCTAGTCTATTACAGGCATCGACCTCAGTGGATGGGTGAGTTATATTGTCTCCCCGATCAAATATTATGGTGATGATAGTGAAATGAATGCACTTTATAAATATACAATATTTATGAAATGTATTAAACTCATTACTAAATATCTTCCTAAATATTTCTAGCTTATCATCAACTTCAAATATAATTATCCATTACCCATATGGATATAAGAAGCATGAAAAAAAAATTGCAGAATGTGTCAAGAAGCACCAGATTTGAACCTTGTGCAGGATACAAGCTATCCTTACTGAAGTTGTTCATGGCTTTCCTCAGTCATACCATAATTTTTCTTTCACCTTATCTGACCCTACATAATCTTCCATTTTCACCAGTGTCATTCAAATAAATAAATGAGTTTATACAGCTGTTTAGAAAGAACAAACTGTATGTTTTTTGCCATTTTATGACACTTTATCTACCACAAAATTCATCTACACCTGTATTCACTACCAACAGCAAGTACAGAAACTACAGTTCTTTTGAAATTTGTGTTTGGTCCATATCCCATTCTATCTACCTATCTTTATTCTTGTTGCTCACACCTGGATCTTACAGCATTCTTGAAACGCTTAGTTTCACTTCATTTTCTTAAACCTAGACAGCAGGACTCCTTGGATGGGGCCGCTATATACTGTATGTCCAAAAAGTATCCGACTTTATTTTTTGCCGCTGTAAGTAATGGCCAAAGGGGTGGGGAAACTGAGCGTAGTGGTAGAAGGGACTTTCATGCCCATGCATGATTTTTTGCTGACTCGCAACACTGTCGGATGCGTCTGTGGCTGCCAGATAGCGAAGTGTAACATGTGTTCGTTGCATTCTCGTTTCGCTCAAGATGACAGAATGCTTGGAGCAGCGATACTGCATTAAGTTTTGTCAGAAACTTGGGGATACCCAAAATTCAGCAGACTTTCGGTGATGATGCAATGGGGGCCACTAAAATTAAAGAGTGGTTCAACGGCTTTAAACATGACCGTATGTCAATGGACAGTGAGCAGCATTCTGGGAGACCGTCAATGCTGATGTCATTGAAAAAGTGCGGACATTGATCATGCAGGACCGTCGTTTNTGTGGCTGCCAGATAGCGAAGTGTAACATGTGTTCGTTGCATTCTCGTTTCGCTCAAGATGACAGAATGCTTGGAGCAGCGATACTGCATTAAGTTTTGTCAGAAACTTGGGGATACCCAAAATTCAGCAGACTTTCGGTGATGATGCAATGGGGGCCACTAAAATTAAAGAGTGGTTCAACGGCTTTAAACATGACCGTATGTCAATGGACAGTGAGCAGCATTCTGGGAGACCGTCAATGCTGATGTCATTGAAAAAGTGCGGACATTGATCATGCAGGACCGTCGTTTGGCCATCTGTGAAATTGCTGATGAGGTTGGGATCAGCAGAGGTTCCGCAAACACAATTTTAACTGACGATTTGGGCATGCGAAGAGTGGCGGCAAAATTTGTGCCCAAGCTGCTTTCGCCGGAGCAGCAACAACTCCGTCTTGAGGTCGTGCAGGACATGCTGGAATGCGTAAACAGGGATCCTGAGTTCCTGAAGACTGTGATCACTAGTGACAAGTCGTGGGTGTATGGATATGACCCGGAAACCAAGGTCCAGGCATCACAATGGAAGCATCCAACATCCCCGAGGCCCAAAAGAGCATGACAGATTCCGAGTAATACAGCTTTTTTTCGATTACCGGGGTGTTGTGCATCATGAGTATGCAACACTAGGCCAGACTGTCAATAAGGAGTACTACCAAGAAGTCCTCCACCATCTTCGTGATGCAGTTCAGCGCAAGAGACCGGAGCTGTGGGACGCACGCCACTGGCAGCTGCATCATGACAATGCCCCAGCTCATTCATCACACCTGATCCAGGGTTTTCTGGCCAAGCACGGCATTCTGCAGGTTCACGAGGCTCCCTACTCTCCTGACATGGCTCCTTGTGACTTCTGGCTGTTCCCGAGATTGAAGACACCGCTAAAAGGCTGCTGTTTTGACAGCCACGAGGACATCATACAGAATGCGACAGTGCAGCTGCACGCCATTCCAAAAGAAGCCTTCTAGAATTGCTTCCAGCGATGGAAAGACCACTGGGCTAAGTGTGTGGAGTCACAAAGGGCCTACTTTGAAGGCGATTAGGTATTGTAACCACCCAGATACAGAACCTTTTTTCCCGGCCCAAGGTCAGATGCTTTTTGGACAGAGTAGTACACATGACAACACAAACACAGAATACAGACAGACATCCGTACCTTGAGTGGGATTTGAACCCACAATCCCAGTGTTCAAGAGGGTGAAGTCATTTCAAGCTGTAGACAATGGGACCACTGACCACATCACATTAGTAAGATAATATTGTTTTTTATTACATGTTGTTGACATACATGTGTGTCTTGTTCTTCTGTTTCAGATAAGTTTACCTACTTTATACAAGTCCTCATGGAGGTAGTGCCCAGCGAGCAAAGTTTTGACTAACACTTTAATACTGAGAATTTATCATCAAGACAGTTTATGATCATGGAACTGAGCGCTCTTATACAAAACTCGGGAAATTTTGAAATTCAATGTGTACAACTGTGTGAATAAATCAATATTTCACATGTAAACAAAACATGCTTTAGAGTAACAAGTTCAATGCATGAATAATGTTAAAATAATTTAAAAGACTACTGTATATTGTAACTGGAAAAGGGGGGGGGGAGCTCCTGAGAATTATGTTGAGCTTGAAATTTCTGCTGAAGTGACAACTTAAAAAAAATAAAAGGAAATATTTTTATATGTATTATATAGTATTTTATGGCTGCCATATGTTTCAGAGTGAGCTTAATTAAAGCTACAAAGATAAACTGTATAATCATGGCGATTTTGCTAAAATAGAGGTTGCAAAGTTGGCTCATCAAACCCAACGATTTGCAGTGTGCTGCACCCGAATTATTTGTTGACAGTTTTTTAATCAACTGGTAAATGAATTGCTAAATTTTCACTGCATCTACATACATAAAATCCTTGTCATCTTCAGCAGTACATTTTCACCAGAAGGCTTCAAATTGCAGCTTTACAGTTCCCCTGTTGGCCAAGCAGAGAATCACTGCTGTACATAACATTGCCAGTAGGTTGCGAGTGTGAGAGGGGAAGCTCAACTTTAAAGCTTACTGTGAAACAAATGAAGAGGCTGGAAATTTTCTCAAACATCTTAGAATTCAAAGGGTGTCATATAATCCCACCGTTAGTCCCTATCCTAACNCATAGTGGATAAGTAAATAAATTAATCTGTGGTCACTAGGCTAAACATAAAAGGGAGGAAAGAAGAAGAAAATAATCCAGAATTATTTATTTTCCTTAATTCTTCTTCTTCTTCTTCTTCTTCTTCTTTTTTCTTCTTCTTCTTCTTCTTCTCCTTCTTCTTCTTCTCATTCGTCAGATTAGGAATCATTTCGCGGGCCGGATAGAACCTATCAGGGGGCCGCGTCTGGCCCGCGGGCCGTACTTTGCCCACCACTGGTCTAGATAATGTGGGACCCTCAATGTCTCACAACCCTATGGGCGTTCACGGCCTGGTACAGGGATAGCTTTACTTTTAGTTTTACTTTTTTTTTACTTAAACTGTTGTGTACCAATAGTACCGTCCCTATGTCTTCCAAACATCCCACCCAAAGTTGCTTTCCAACTAAACTATTTTCCTCTCACAGTGTGTTTCCTTAGTGAATGGTAAATTCAAAATCTGTCTAAACTTCCTTGCCTTATAGTGATCCTAAGAATGATGAGTATATGTGATAAAGTTCTGTTTTATGAATTTTTCTCAACGCTGAATTATAGACTGTACGCAGTAGCGTAGGTGGTTGAGGGGTTATGCTACAAGATGGTAGGTCGTGGGTTCAAGTCCTGATGAAGTCATTGGATTTTTTTTTTTTTCAGTTGACCTAATCCTTCCAGCGCACTAGGCCCTGGGTTTTACTCAGCCTCTAACAGAAATGAGTACCAGGAATTAATTAAATAATTTTCCTGGGGAGTAAAGCGCGGCCGGTGCGTAAGGCTGACAACCTTACCGCCATCTGTGAGCCGATTGTCTAGATAATGTGGGACCCTCAACGTCTCACAACCCTATGGGCCTTCACGGCCTGGTACAGGGATAACTTTACTTTTTTACTTTTTTACATTACAAGCCAAGTTAACCCCCCATATAAATTCCACCAGGTAGTACAAAAAATTACTGCTACAGCTGTCTAACGTCCTTTCTTCTTTGATATTCCCTCATATTTCCTGCTACCATCAAAACAGTGAGGTCAGAATTAGAAGATGAATACAGATTTTTTAAAGTAATAATTGGAATTGAGGATGGAGTTCCACCGGACTCAAGAGGCCCTAAACTGGCTCCAGAAACGTTACTACTGTGTCTACACAATTTTGTTAGCAATGTCTGTGGAGGTCCCTCCAGGATATGACAGGAGCAGTCAGGATGGCTAAGGACTAGTCTTCAATGGGAATGAGGAAGAAATTTTCATTGTTTCTTTCAATCCCACCAAAGACCAACTGCTACCCCTCCCCACACTATACACAATCTACAGTGTTTTCATTTTCAGAACTCACTCATTATCTGCCATCTACATTCCCTGTCTACCTACCACAAACCTACTCTTTGCAGACCTCCACTTAGCAACTAACCCAGTCTACTTTTGAGTGGCTGGAGAGATCCTGTTTGTAAGAAGTTCTCTCACATCTCTTCTGTGGGCAGTATGATAGGAAGAAAGGAGAACTTCAGCAAATGCTAACTTATTGTTCTTGAATGTGTCACGTTCTGTGAAGCTCCCCTGAAAATAGCACACCACTGTGTCTCTGGCAATTCTATGCAGCATCTGCAACAGAATGGAATATGAACACACCCAATAAAACTTCTGTTACCAATCAAATTGCAAAGAAGAATTGCTGTGAGGAGGAACTTAACTAAATTGGAACAGTAACAAATGGTAAAACACTTTTACTTAAAACATGAATACGCATATATTAATAATACAAATTACTATAATATAAAAGGGGAAGTAACTGTTAATGATCTGATGTATAAAATTTGTTTAACATTTTTAACAAGGATTATTACAGTTTTTGGAAGTTACTTTAATTAACATAGATTCTATAAGATATAGTGACCCACCTTCACCTTCATCAATGATTAATTATGTGAGTACAAAAGAAGAGTGTTTTTGTTTCTTTCTTACTTTTCCACTAACATTTTGTGTCTCTTTGCTGAGAAATGTGCAGTGAAAAGAGAAAGACAAAACGGCAACAACTTTACACACCTTGCACGTAATGTTTCATGAGTCCCACTGCACGACACTCTTGAAAAATCTGTAGTCTCGCAGGAAATTTGTAAATATTTCAATAATATGAAAACTGGGCAGGTAGGTGTAGCAGCACCATTTCACAATTCACTCAGAGTGTGCGAAATCTTGGGCAATGTCCATCTGGTTGTCAATATGTTTGATAATTGCAACTATGGCCTGAAGCACCTGCAGCTGCAAAGAAAATAAACAATTCTTCTGTAAAGCACACCAAGTTCATGACATGATGCAAACATTTTAAATTCACTAAAGCATATAGGAAACACAAAGTAGCATGAAAATGAATAAAATAATGCTAGGATACAGTTCTTAGTAAATATAAAGAATTCAAAAAATGGTTACAAAACAATGACAAGTTTCCTTTTGACTATTTTCTCCATGTACCATGCAATGGTGGCAATGTTTTAAACTTCTGCGACAAAACTTCGCTCGTAGATCATTTCCAGTAGATCAGTAGTTAGTTTCAGAACTTTCTTTTTCATGTGGTAGCATTGCCTGACACCACAGTAATTATAAATGTGATGTTCCTATGGCTAATCCTACGTTCAGGAAACACTATTATGTCTTGCTGGTCTTTGCCGCCAAAGGTGCTGTGGGATTTGTCGCTACTCCAATAGACAACCATTTTGGAAACTTTGTTGGCCCTGAAAAGGGCCGTTTGTTCCACCACGGTACATAGAGTTTTACGGCCTTTCGGCTGGTCTGTCTGGCCGGTGAAGTAGGGCTGCGTGCGCCGGGAGAAATAGATGTTGGCTACGATGTGTTGGCTAATGTTGCGGCAGATGAGTTAGTTGCCCGGTCCCAGTGCGGCAGTTGCCGGATGTTGCCTGGTCGCAGAGCGTGGTTGCTGGAAGATGTCTGGTTGTGGAGCGCGGTCGCTGGAGTTGCGGCAGCTGGGCCAGTTGCCCGGTGTGTCGGGCATGACCGCCAGAGAGCCGAGGCAGCCGTCCCTGATGCAGCCGATGACTCCGAAGACCGATCGCTCTGGACTGGGTGTAATGGCTGACTGGCTGATGTGGTCACTGATGATTGCAAAGTCAAAGCCAAAGTCATGTTGCAACTGACGGTCAGTCAGTCTGTCTGTCTTGGTGTTGAGCCCCAGCTGGGGCTCATGACCAGATGTTTTCTTCTTTGTGAAAGTTGCTGTCCAGTCCATTTGGGACGCCCTCTCTGATGAGAGGTCGGGTCTGTCATTTGTCAGCCTTAGTCAGTCCATTGTCAGTACTGACATATATTTACAATTTAATTCCAGTCTTAAATACTATTTCTATGTACAATATATACAAGGCCTCTGTCAATCCAGGCATTGTACAGCAGATTATGCCCTGTTTCTAGTATTATTTGCTACCATGGTAGTCTAGACACTTGAACTTGATTTTGTATGACTTCTGCTTGTTGCCTGCATAATTTTGTTATGTAATCATATACTATGGAATTTTGAATGCCATGTGCAATTTGCGGACCAGTGTGCGCCTTGGAAAATTGCCAATCGTGCGGAGAACCTTGTTTTGTAGGCGCTGCAATTTCACTGGATGGGTGTCTGCCGCAAACTCCCAGGCGGGACTAGCATAAGTCATTACGGATCTAAGAATAGTTTTATGGTGGGTCAGTTTAATGTTAGCACTCAATCGCTCAATCTTCATTAATTTTTATATTCCAGCGCTCCACCAGGTCTCCATTGTGCTGAGACCGCGCTGGAGTTTTCTAACAATAAAACCCTCCTTGCGATCTGTCGCATATAGACAGGTGTCGTCCGCAAAGAGGGCCAGGTGAACACCAAGAATTTGGGGGGCATCATTAATATATTAATGATGCCCCCCAAATTCATGGTACAAGTTTAAAAGAGTAGGGAAAGGACCGAATCTTGTGGCACCCCTGCTTGCATTTCCCTTGGCGTTGAAATTTCGCCTTCAACCGAGACCCTGAATGGCAAGAATTGTAACGGCAAGATGGCGGCCGATGATGTGTTGAAGTATATATATAATTGTTCGTCATTTGAATCAAAATAACGGTGATAATGATAAGAATTTGTGTGCAAAGTGTTAAAAAACGAAGGATGATATAAAAGTGATTTTAAATTAATTAAAATCTACCCAAGAAATAGTTAGGATACTGCAAGACGAAATTCAAAATAAACTTAGAGACTCTGTGAATGAAGGTAACCTAACAAACGGTGTAAATAGAAATTCTGATTTAAAACAAAGTACCTCAAATGATAATGTCAGTGGACGGAAGGAAGTGCGGCGTAATAAACTTTCAACAATTCAACCAAAGAAGGTTTTGAACAATTATAAGCATCTCACCGCATACACTCCATTAACTGAAAATAGATTTCAACCCATAAGTGACTATTAAGACTCGGCCTCTCAGCATGATGGTGATGTAATCAAGTCTAAACCCTTATTGGGGCCAACAAGTGATGATTTAAATAAACATAAAA